CCCCAAAACCCCAAAACCCCAAAACCCCAAAACCCCGAGATTTACTCTTAATTTTGAAAACAAATCGATGAAAATTAGCCACGAGAGGGTTGAAACCCTCACTGAGAAGTACCATCAAGAACTTGACAAGAATTATGGGTGCATTCTGAACCTAAACCATCATGATTGCCAATTTGATGTTAAGAATATCAAGGATTCTGTTCTGTTTGCCCAACATTTCATTCAGAGTATTCTGAAGTTGATCAAAAACATAAGAAGCCAGAAAGATGTTCTTAGCATCCATTACCAAGACAGGATAGCAGAGATTGAAGAGCTATTTACTCAAATTGATAACAAAATTGGAAAATTAAGCTATAACCTATGTTCCAGAAAATTTATGAATCTCAACTCGTTTCAAAATAAACTTCCTTCAAATTTCACCAGCAAAGAAGAAGCCTCCAAAGATGCTATATCTTGTAAAAAATACTCTGAAGATGATAATACTAAGTGATCTGACAGGGTTATATACTGGGATAGCTCTGACACCTCTTCTGAAAAATATTTCACATCAAGTCAGGAATCTGAGGTTCAAGAATCTAAACTAGATTTAAATTTTAACCCAAATAAAAACTTAATTGACCAATGTAAAGGAGCAAGATTCAATGAAACTAATATACATGAAGAAACTATCAACTTAGCACATGTAGGAGTGGCAATGAACTCTTGAGCCAAAGTCCTTCTAAAAATCCATATTGCAGCAGAGAGGCTATGACACACTCCTAACTCATACGATTTTATTGAACTGTTGTACAGATCAGAGTTCCTAAAGTGTATGAATACCTTATTTGAAGAGATCACTACAATGAGCTCCAATGACGTAATTTCTTCAATGTAAATTTTTACCTTTTCTGGCCTTTCTAACCATTAATACTATTTTAGAAATTCAAATAAATCAGAAAGCATAGATAGTATTACTTTTGTCAGAATTCCAATTAACCCAGAAGCTTACATGATGAGATTTACCTACTTTAACAAACTCCTTGAGTACTGAATTGGAGTAATGAGCAAGACTATCGACTCTGGAGGATGGGTATATCAAACTTTAAAATTGCTCTATTTCGGTGCATCATTCTTAGCCTCTCCTTCAAAGCGAAAGCAAGCTTTTAGAGAATTAATGATCTCAGACAACACAGAATTAATGATCAACATTGTTCGTCTTCATAACCATAAACTATCTGATATTTTCCATTATTTCATTAACCCAAGGATAGAATTTCATCGTAAAATTTACATCAAAAAGCAAAAGAATCCCGAGGTTGATCTTGAGCTCAGCCTAAAAAATTTCTTAGCTGGGAAGCCTCCTTGAATAAACAAGACCACTAATGGATTTTCATACACAAAAAAGGAAGATTCAATGATGATCAGAATCATCTCTCCCTTCAGGTTACATAATTTTACTTCAATTGAAGAGGCTAAGCAGGGAAAACCCTTTCAGAAAAATAAGGTTCAAGAATGCCCAGCAATTCTGATCCATATTCATGGAGGAGGGTTCATTTGACAAGGATCTGCTCAGCACCAAACATACCTCAGAAATTGGTCAAACAACAACAACATGCCAGTTTTCATGCTAGAATACACTCTTTCTCCTGAATCAAAGTATCCAGGTCCCCAACACGAATGCTGGGAGCAATATAAATGGATCATCACCAATATCGATACCTCATGCGGCCTCAGGCCCAAAAAGATCCTCCTCTCCGGTGACTCTGCCGGAGGAAACCTGTGCACATCCCTCACCAGCCTCTGAATCGCCCAAAACTTCCCCAAACCCACATCCATATTCCTATGCTACCCTGCTCTCTGCATCTCTCCGAGTAAGCACCCTGCCTGATCTATAGCCTATTTCACGCCTTCCAGGATCTACACGTTCGATGACATGCTTTCAGTAGTACTAAATCATCTCCTTGTTCAAACCTCACTTCGACATTACTGTCCAAAACCAACAGATAGTGCATTACTGTCTCCCTTGTTGACTTCCTCAGAAATCCTGAAGGAGTTCCCTCCGACTAAGATTTTCACTGCAGGAATAGACCCTCTGCATGCAGACGGAGTTGACTTTGCCAAGAGATTAGTCAATTTAGGGGTCCATGGAGTTGAGCTAGAGCATAATAAACTATTACCGCATGGATTTTTGACCTTCACAATAGCACCATTTATATGGCAGGAATGCAGAAGAGCAAGCCAAGGCATCTCCGATTCGATCACAAGGGTGATTCAACAGAATTTTTAGGTTTTGAATTGTGGTTTAAAGGGTATTTGGATAAAATACTTGAAAAATAGCTCATTTTCTCCAATTTTTGATGATTTTAAGGGGTTTTGGGGTTTTGGGGTTTTGGGG